CAGTTTTGATTTATTGTAGAGATGAGGTCTTGCCAAGTTGCCCAGGCGGGTCTCGAACCCACAGGCTCAGGCAATCCACTCACCTCGGCCTCCCAAAGCGCTGGGATTACAGGCTGAACCACTGAGCCTGGCGAAAGCTTTTCTTATTTTTGTTCTTAATTTTCCTTTCTTTCTACTGCTTTGAAGATAATTTACTCTGAAGTTAACTCCAATATTATAAGTAAGGGTGTATTTAAGGCCCATTTCATTTCCTGAAATAGAACCATGTCCAGAGACAATTTTATGTAACAGTAACTGGTGAGTACTGTAAGGTATTAGCCCAGTGACACAGATGGTAACATGTTGATTTGATCTCGTATTATACAGATAATTTGACCACAGTTAATAAATGACTTTTGTTCCTGATGAAGAGACCCTAAAACCAGCCTAACCTTCCTAGCTCCCAAAAGCATTTGCTCATCTGGAATTCAGTATTTTAGTTACTGATGCCCTTAGTAACTCTGCTATTTAGGGACTGAAAGGATCAAGAGGAACCAGCAAAGGACACTGAAAAGGGGAGGCCACTGAGGTAGAAGGGTGACAGAGTGCGACGTCCTTCAAGCCAACTTCCATCCAGTTTATTTATGTCTCTAATAATTTTATTTATTTCTTCATTTAGTCAATACATATATAGTTCTTACTCCATGTCAGGTACTGTTTTAGGTACTAAAAGTACTCGGTATGAACAAGAGAGGCAAAACACTGACTTTCATGAAGTATACATTTGTGGCGAATAAAGAAAATTAAAAGCAAATTATCAGGTAGTAGTGTAAGTCATTCGAGCTTGGAACTGAATAACAAGGAATCAACAGAGCAGTGAATGGGGAGTTCCCAGGCAGAGGGAAAAGTGGCACCAAGGGCTGATGTATAGACAGGCTTGATGTGCTTGAGGAACTGGAGGAAGACCCATGTAGCTGGAGTTTTCCCAGTAGAGATGAGCTTGCAGGACTGAGCAAAAGACACATCACATAGAACCTGAGGAAATAATTTAGATTTTACTCTGAGTATGATAGGATGGCATTGAAGGGTATTAAGCAAAGGTAGAGTAGGAAAACTTCTTAAATATATGAAGAACGAATTATAGGGAAGAAAAAAGGGAAAAGAACAACCAGTGGAAGGCTACTGCGATGGTCTTCAGTGGTTGGTAGTACTTGAGACAGAGAAAGGAGATTGATTCTGAAATTGGCATGGCTGTTCTTGCCCACCCTACCTACCTCCCATTCTGCCAGTGCACAGTATACTTTAGCCTTTTAAAGGTTCTTAGACTTCCTACAGTTAAAAATAACTATTTACTTACTCCATTTTCCATGCTTCCTAGACCTTGAACCTTTTTTATCCTGAAATATCTATTAACACTTTGCACTTGGAGACATCTCTCAGATCACCTACTAGCAACCCGACTGCACTTTTTAAAGAAAGAGTGAAAAACAAATCACTTCATTATATTAAAGAGTATAACATTGGAACCAATTACTTTATTGTAATGATATTTGGCTTATAATGGAATTTTGAACATTGAGGAACTTATAACAGAAAGAATCAAAATTGTATCTCTTATATTTTTCTAACATGTAGTTATGTGTGAAACAGTCACCAACATGCATTACAGGTTCATCGATACATGTTGTGCTATAATAATTTGTTTGATGTCTTCTACCTGGTGTTTTCTAGTCAGGCAGACAATGCAGTCTCATTTTCTTCTTCCCACATTAATAATATGGAACTTATTGTCCATCTGTGCATCACTGTGAAAGCACTTTACATGTTCTCTTTCTACATAACACCAAAACTGATTTTTTTTTTTTACATTTTTATGTGTGTGAGTGTTTTTTTGATGGTATATATTCCATCTCTTTATTTGCTTTTTTGTGCAGTTTGAATGAAAAACTTCAAGGAAACATGCATTTTTGAAAAATTTTGCACTGGCATGAGTTTGTCCTGTATAGTCACCAGCACTTTCTTTATGTCCCCATAGAGGGGACATCCGAATGGTTTGCTAGATTTATGATGTTCCCCCAGAGGGGACATCTGAGTGCAAAGGGCTATGCTCCTGAGAAACTAGTGATTCACATTAGGAAGTACTAGTTGTATGGATAGAACATGGTTTTCAAAGTTTTATATCATTTTTCTCCTCTTATCAACTATATTAATATTCTACAAGAACCAGTGTTCTGAGAAACATATTTTGAAAATCTCTCCTGAAAGTTAGTTTGTTTACCTCTCCTCTGATACAATTTGAGGTGTTTCTACAGTTTAACCCTCCAAGAGAAATTTTCTTTGTTTCTGGGAGGCACTTCATAGTAAATTCCCACTTACTAATGAATGACCTCTAGTAGGTCTGAGTTGTTTTACATATAAAAACTATACACATAAACATTTGAATTATTGTACACAAAGGTTACTCAGTCAATATTTGCTCCCCTTCTCTACCTTCCTATGAAAGCCAATAGTATTTGTTTTACATTTGGGTTATATTTCTCTGATTCATTTTTTTCTATTTTATCTATATTAAATGCCACTTGGCATTATTTAATATAAATATTTCATTCCCTAAGAGCTATGTGAAAATGATAACAATGAAGGTAATGCTAAGACACTTTTCTTCTTTGAACTCCCCATGCCCTATGCATAAGAGCTGTTTGATAGCTATAGCGATGATGGAGATGATGCTAAAGTAGGCATTCCCCATGTCTGTGTAATCTAAGAAGACTGTGTCGATGTCATTAAGAAATCCAAATGGAAGTCAGCTTTCAGGATATCACACTCTTTGATTTTCCTCCTACCTCAATGACCTTTCCCTCACAGTCAGCTTTCCTGGTTCTACCTTCTCTCTTCAACCTCTCAATGCTGGAGTTACTCAGGGCTGTTCCTGGATCTGCTTTCTCTATCCATATTCTTCCTGGGGAAATCTGATCTGCGTGTGTGGCTTTAAATGCCATCTGTATGCTGACAACTCTCACATTTATTTCTTCAGGTTGGGCCCCTCCACTGGAATCCAGAGTATTATAACCAATACCATATTTAACACCACTATTTGGATGTCTCATAAGCATCTCAAACCTAACATGTCTAAGACTGAACTTCTGCTTTCTCCCCAAAACTTGCTGTTCCGTTGGCCCTCTCCTCAGTAAATGGCATCTCCATCCTCGCAGTTGCTTAAGCCAGAAACTTTGTAGATTTCTTTTTCTCACATCCCACATCCAGTCCATCAGCAAATCACATGAACTCTACCTCAAAACATTATTTTCTAGAATTGAATTATCTTTAATACCTCCACTGCAGTTCCAGGCCACTGTCACCTCTCTTTTGGATTACTGCATTTGTGTCTCAGTGGTGTTCCCTGCTTTTGTGTTTGTCCCCTATAGTTTATTTTACCATAATAGTCGAAGTGATTCTCTTAAAATAGAAGTCACTTCTTTGCTCACATCCCTTCTATGGCTTCCCGTTGCACTTGCACTCAGAATAAAAGCCAAAGTACCTCAATTAGTGTCAAGACTCTAAATGAGGAGATTCCAACCTAAGGACTATTGCCATTTTGGGCTGTTGTGGGGGACTGTCCTGTAAACTGTAGGATGTTTAGTAGCATCCCTGGCCTCTACCTACCAGATGCTAGTATCACTTCCCCCAGTTGTGACAACGCAAAATGATTCTAGACATTGTCATATGTCCACTGGGTAGCAAAATTGTCCCCAGTTGATAACCACCATCCTAAACCTGATCTGCACATTACCTCTTCCCCCTCCTCTCCTGCTAAACTCCCCCTCACTCACTCCTCTTTAGCTACGCTGACCTCCTTGTTGTTTCTCCAACAGTCTAGACACTCCTGGATAGGACCTTTGCACTTGCTTTCCCTCTTCATGGAATAATACTCCTTCATATAGCCATATGGTTCACTCTCACTTCCTTCCCCTCTTCTCAGTGAACCTTCTTTTACCACCCAGTTTAAAACCACAAAACTTGTCTTCTATTTTCTCCTTTCCCTGCTTTTCCTCTCATTATTTATTGTTTCTCTTCCCCAATTAGAATGTAAGCTTCATGGTGGTAGGGTTTGTTTTTTCAGTTTTGTTCAATACTGTTTCTAGCATCTAGAACCATACTTGACATATGATAGGTACTCTTTAGTACTTATTGAATAAATTAAAACAGTGAATGACAAAGTCTCTGAAGTAATTGAAATATTTCAAAGATGTTTTTGTTTCATTTGTAGCCCAGGAGCTGGTAAGTGATTGGTTAGACACCAAACTTAAGCAAGAATTAGCAAGTGATGAAGAAGGTAATGCAGAAAACACTATGTCAAGCATCACTCTTATGCCAGAAGCCACTGGCCATTTGAAATATGACAAGTTTGATGGTAAGAACTTACCTGGCTGTTCTAAGTGTTAACATTAATGAATGTGTCTAAGAAGTCTTTTGTTTTGAGCAGTAAATTATATTTGACTTTTCTGTGTTTTGCTTAGTTTTATTATTGGCTTTAATTGTAGTGATTGACTATAAATTACTTAAATGATATATCTTCAGTGAATTAATGGTTTTTTTAAATAAAAGTATTGTATTACAGTTGTCCCTTGGTATCTGTGAAGGATTGATTCTAGGACCTCCTGAAGATACCAAACTCCTCAGAGACTCAAGTCCTACACACATCCTCCCATATACTTTAAATCCTCTCTAGATCACTTATAATATCTAATACAATGTAAATGCTTTGTAAATAGTTGTTATATTGTATTTTTAAATTGTTATTTTTATTGTTGTATTGTTGTTTTTAATGTTTAATTTTCTTTAGAATATTTTGGACCAATGGTTTTCCACCCTAAAACGTGGAATCTGTAGATAGGGAGAGCCTGTGATTCTGCTTATCATTATAAGAGCGATTAATGCTTTAAGAGAGCCTCTTTCTTCATATCATTGGACTATTTACTTTGATAGAGACTATATTTAAGCATTTGTATATTATTTTTATATTTTTTAAATGCTTCTTATTTCTTTTTTAGTTATCACTTATAAGGGGGGGTTATTACTTTTCTACTTTTTTTTTCCAGAGGGGGATAAAACCACTATTGTGTACAGAGTTAGTGTCAGACAAGTTAGATGATGAACTTGTGATCGTTCCTCAAATGCACTCAAGGGTCTGAGGTTTTTTTCTCTGAGCATCAAGGTAGATGGTGGGAGCAGCTCCTCATGCATGATTCAGAGACCATTAATGAATCCACCTGGCACCATCATTTCCCTTGTTTGGAACTCTTCAAAATCCCAGCTAGGCGATCACAAAGCAGTGAGATCTTAAAGTTAGAAGAATCCTTCAAGATTACCTAGTCTTATCTATCCTCCTTTCCCACTCAGTTAGAGATCCTTCTACTGTGTCCCTAAAATGTGGTGATGTAATCTCTGCCTGAACACCTCCCAGAATAGGAAGCCTGCACTTTGGGACGAGACCATTCAGCCACTGTGAGGCCCTAATTCTTATAAAAGTCTGCCTTAGTTAGGAGAATTAGGATTTTGTCCTTAGTAACTTTTTGCCCTTTGATGCAACAGAAAATAATATGTTTTCTTTCTCAAGAACAGTCTTTTTTTAATTTTTTGTGAGAGTTTAATTGTATCTGACCACTGAGGTACTTCAATGTTTCCAGATTAAATAGCACCAGTACTCTTAACAATTCTTTTTTTTTTTTTTTGAGTTGGAGTCTCACTCTGTCACCCAGATTGGAGTACAGTGGCCACTCCCGGCCACCGCAGCCTCCGACCTGCTGGGCTCTGGCGATCCTTCCACCTCAACCTTCTAAGTAGCTGGAACTACAGGCGTGTGCTACCACGCCCCAGCTAATTTTTTGATTTATTGTAGAGATGAGGTCTTGCCAAGTTGCCCAGGCGGGTATCAAACCCGTGGGCTCAGGCAATCCACTCACCTTAGCCTCCCAAAGGCGCAGGATTACAGGCTGAGCCACCGAGCCTGGCTAACAATTCTTTATACTACATGGATTCTAGTCTTATCGTCCTAGCTGCCAACTTCTGGATATATTCTGGTTTATTAATGTCATTATTAAAGTGAGGCATTTCGGTACTTGATATTTGTCCTGAAGCAAATATATGGAATATAGTGAAACTATTACTTCTTTTGATATAGTACTAATAGGTCTAGTTATGTTCCTTGACTTAGAGGAGCTATTATCATCTAGTATTATACCAGGTCTCAATCATCATATGCTGGTAGAGTTTTTTTAAATCAAAATATTGAACAAAAATATTATGCAGGCATTAAAATGTATGTTTACCCCAAATATTAACATTATCTCAATAGACACAGAGAAAGTACTTGACAATATCTAATATTCATTCCTGAGAAAAACTCCCAGCAAACTAGTAATAGAAGATAAATTCCTCAACTTGATAAAGGGCATTTACAGAAGATGTATATATAACAAATACCAATATGATAAATGTAAGCCTTACATTATCAGGAATTACATTAAATATAAATGGATTTAATTAAACACTTAGTCCAAAGGCAGAGATTGACAGAGTGGACAAAAAATATATAACTTATATATATATATATACACACACACACACACACGCACACAAGATGTACATTATTATTGTTGTTGTTGTTGTTGTTATTATTATTATTTTGAGTCAGGGTTTCACTCTGTCTCCCAGACATGGCTCACCATAGCCTCAAACTCCTGGGATCAAGCAACTCTCTCTCCCTAGCTTCCCGAGTAGCTGGAACTACAGGCACAGGTTACCACACCTAGCTAATTTATTAAAAACTTTTTGGCCAAGCATGGCAGCTCAAGCCTGTAATCCCAGCACTTTGGGAGGCCGGGGTGAGGGGATTGCCTGAGCCTAAGGGTTTGAGAACAGCCTGGGCAACTTGGCGAGACCTCATCTCTACAGTAAATCAAAAATTAGCTGGACATGGTAGCACGTACCTGTAGTTCCGGCTACTTGGAAGACTGAGGCAGAAGGATCGCTTGAACCCAGCAGGTCAATGCTGGGGTGGCTGTGAGTGTGCCTCTGTACTCCAGCCTGGGCAACGGAGTGAGACTTCAACCCCCCCCCCAAAAAAACCAACTTTTCGTAGAGACAAGTTCTCACTGTTTCCCAGGCTTGTCTCAAACACCTGGGTTCAAGTTGACTCTTCTACCTTGGACTCCCAGTGTTAAGATTACAGGTGTGAGTGACCACACTTGGTCAAGAGATATACTTTAAATTCAAAACACAAATAAGTTGAAAGTAAAAGGATGGAAAGAGATATACCATCCAAACAGTAATCCAAAGAGAGCTGGATTGGCTATATTAATATCAGAAAAAATAGAGTTTTTTTTAAAAAATGTGTTACTAGAGACAAAAAGTACATTTTCTAATGATAAAGGGGTCAATCCACCAAGAAAACACAAGAATTACAAACATATATCCACCTGAGAAAAAAGTCCCAAAATAGATGAAGCAAAAACTGACAAAATTGAAGCAAGAAATAATATATTATTAATCAACAATAATACAGTAGTGTCACTTAATGAAGGAGACAAGCTCTGAGAAATACATCATTAGGCAATTTCATCATTGTGCACACATCATAGAGTGTACTTACACAAACCTAGATGGTGTAGCCTACTACACACCTAGGCTGCATGATATAGACTATTGCCCCTAGGCTAAAAACCTGGACAGCATGTTACTGTACTAAATATTATAGGCAATTATAATGAAATAGTCAGTATTTGGGTATCTAACATATCTAAACATAGAAAAGGTTCAGTAAAAATGCTGCATAAAAGATAAAAACGGGTAGACTTGCGTTGGGCATTTATCATGAATGAAGTGTGCAATACAGTTGCTCTAAGTAGGTCAGTGAGTAAGTGGAGAGTGAATGTTAAGGCCTAGGACACTACTGGACACTATTGTAGACTTTATAAACACTGTATACCTAGGCTACACTAAATTTATTTTTAAAATTCTTCAATAATAAATTAATTTTAGTTTAGTATAACTTTTTTGCTTCATATGTTTTTAAATTTGTTAGCTCTTATAATAACACTTAAATACAATCACATTGTACAGCTGTACAAATGTATTTTCTTTCTTTATATCCTTATTCTATGAGCATTTTTCTATTTTAAAAAAAATTTAGTTAATTTTTTTTTTTTTTTGAGTTGGAGTCTCACTCTGTCGCCCAGACTGGAGTACAGTGGCTGCTCCTGGCCACCGCAGCCTCGACCTGCTGGGCTCTGGAGATCCTTCCGCCTCAGCCTTCCAAGTAGCTGGAACTACAGGCGCACACTACCGCACCCGGCTAATTGTTTGATTTATTGTAGAGAAGAGGTCTCGCCTGCCAAGGCGGGTCTCGAACCCGTGGGCTCAGGCAATCCACTCACCTCAGCCTCCCAAAGGTGCAGGATTACAGGCTGAGCCACCAAGCCCGGCTCTAGTTAATTTTTTACTTTTAAAATTTTTTTGTTAAAATCTAAGACAGAAACACACACATCAATTAGCCTAGGCCTACACAAGGTCAGAATCTTCAATATCAGTCTTCCACCTCTGCATCTTGACCTACTGGAAGGTTTTTAGGGGGAATAACGTCCAAGGAACTGTCATCTCCTTTTTCTGGAATACCTCCTGAAGGACCTGCCTTAGGCTGATTTGCAGTTAATTTTTTTTTGTAAGTAGGAGTCCACTCTAAAATAACAATAAAAGTATATTGTAAATACATAAACATTATCATTATCAAGTATTATAGACTGTACATAATTGTGTGTTATACTTTTATACGACTGTCAGAGCAGTAGGTTTATTTACACCAGCACCACCACAAAAGTGTGAGTTTCAGCTACCTTATAATCTTAGGGGGCTACATTCGAATAAGCAGTTCATTGTTGATGGAAATGTTATTTGGTCTGTGACTGTAGTTGGGGACTTTGATACCCCACTTTTAATAATCTATATAACAACTAAAAAAAAATCAAGAGTGATATTAAGTATCATTAGTCATTAAGGAAATGCAAATTAAACTACAATGAGTTACCAGCATATATCTATTAAAATGGCTTATATTTAAAAGACTGACCACAGCAAGTATTGGAAAGGATGTGAAGGAATTCTAATGTTTCCACGTTGCTGGTGGGAATGTAAAATTGTGTAACCACTTGGACAATAGTTTGACAGTTCTTTAAAACGTTAAACATATAGTTATCATATGATCCAACCATTCCACCAACATATATGTTGGCATTTTCCCAACAGAGAAGAAAGCCTATGTTCTGTGGGGTCTGCATCCATAGATTCAACCAACCATGGATCAAAAATATTTGGAAAAAAAATAGTATCTGTACTGTACATGAACAAATTTTTTTTTTTTGAGTTGGAGTCACTCCATCATCCAGGCTGGAGTGCAGTAGCACACTCTCAGCCACTCCAGCGTCGACCTGCTGGATTCTGGCAGTCCTTCCACCTCAGCCTTACAAGTAGCCGGAGCTACAGGAGTGTGTTACCATACCTGGCTAATTTTTTGATATATTGTAGAGACGAGGGCTTGCCAAGTTGCCCAGGTTGGTCTCGAACCCACAGGCTCAGGCAGTCCACTTGCCTCAGCCTCCCAAAGTGCTGGGATTATAGGCTGAGCCACTGAGCCCAGCTCAGACTTTTTTCTTGTCATTATTCCCTAAAAAAATATAGTGTAACAACTATTTATACACACTTTACTTTGTCTTAGGTATTATAAGTAATCCAGAGATGATTTAAAGTATATAAGAGGAAGTGTGTAGCTTATATGCAAATGCTACCCCTTTTTATTTCAGGGACTTGAGCATCCTCGGATCTTAGTGTTCTCGGACGGTCTTGGAACCAATCCCCCACAAACTCGGGGACAACTGTACACAAATGTTTATAACAGCTTTATGTATAATAGCCACATTCTAGAAACCATTCAAATGTTCATCAACAAATGAATGCATAGACAAATTGTGGTATGTATATTCATACAGTGGAATACTACTCAACAACAAAAAGCAATGAACTACTGATACACACAACATGAATGAATCTCAAAATAATTATACTGACTGAGAGGTCAGACCAAAAAAAGTACATAATGTATTATTTAATTTCATAAAATTCTAGAAAAGGAAAACTAATCTGTTGGTGACAGAAAGCAGGTCTGTGCTTACCTGAAGCAGAGGGATAGGGAGGAGGCATAGGGCGGAGTGACAGGAAGTGATCACAAATCAGCATGAGGTCACTTTTGGCGTTATGAATATGTTCATTATCTTGACTGTGGTGATGGTTTTACTGGCATATGTCAAAATGTACTGTAGATTTTTAAATTTTCACAGTTTATTATGTACTAATTATACTATAATAAAGATTTTTTTTAAGAAGTAGAGTTCTCAAGATTGTTGAGATTGAGGTAATAGCTTTTAGATTTGGCAGTGAAGGAGTCTTCAGTGACTTGGTGAGGGCAATTCCTGATAAATGGAGCTTTTTGCCTCTTTGTTGAAGGTAATTGCTGAGACCTATATTCATCCAGTTGCATTATCAGTTACTATTTATTGAACATTCACAGCTTTGTCTTTTTTTTGTACCAGGAGTCTTTATATAAATATGAATATTATACTAACATTAAAATCTTTAAAAATTTCCCGTTTTTTTGTTCTGTTTCCCCCAGACTTATGCGGCTATTTGGAGGAAGAAGAGGAAAGTACCACCGTTCAAAAATTTATAGACCATCTGCTCTATAAAGATGTGGTGGATTCTGGGATGTTGGAAGATCTTGGAAGGGAGGAAAACCAAGACAAGAAGCAGCAGAAGGATCCTCGTCTTACCATGGAGATGAGACATAAGCAGGTGGGAGGGAAAAACAAAATTAAAATGGATAACAGGAAGCAGTCTTTGTGTAACACATTTAATAAGCTTAAATAAAGACATAGGCTTTATTATGAAAAGGGTGCCATCTGTGGTTTGGTTAGAAAGAATAAAAATAAAATATAAGAACTTCAGAAGAAAAATAATTCTCATAAACTGAGGGTAGAAACAATTTATTTAAGAAATAACCCAAAAAAAGAATAATTGATTTTTACCTAGAGTGTTGAGGTAAGCTATTATTTCAAATGTGGTACTTCCTAATATAAATACGTAGATTGCATTCTCAAATTTGGTTTTTGAATTGTGACACTAATATATTAATATTATGAATATTCTGGTGAGTGTTATAAGAATTATTTTCTACACAACTGAAATTCACTTATTTTGTGATTATAATTTAGAATAGAGGACAGATCTGAATTAAATCCAGTTCAACTGTTTTGAATTAGAAGGCATGTGGGAACTTTTTTTTCTTCAAAGAGATTAGTAGGTTATAGCAAAAAAAGACTTGTGTCTCAACACTTTGTAAAGTAGCTTCAGGGAAACAGAATAACCAAGTCTTTGCCATATGTTCAGAACCAAGACTAAACTAGAATTAATATCTATATGTGTGTGTACTATCCTTGTATAACACTGAATTTCTGATTGCCAAATTTGAAAGTCGATGCTTTAAATCATTGAAATATGCCTAATCAGCACTGGGGATTTTAGAGAAATGGGTAAAAATATGACTGTAGTTTGAACTTAAGACAAAAGAGAAGAGAAGATAGATGACCATTGTCTGGAAGTCTTATCACAACTAAAGAGTAAGATAAGGGTAAAGTTAAGTGAAGCAGGAAGGAAAGGACCATCCTTAGCTCACAGCATGCTAAGCCTTCTAAAGAATTAATAGGTTTGAAAAAAGTGAAATGTACTTATTCATATTTTTGGTGTCCAAATATGATCCAGAATCACCGGTTTATTTAAATAATGATAGAAGTCTACATGTGGTGGCTCATGCCTATAATCTCAGCACTTTGGGAGGCTGAGGCAGGAGTCTTGCTTGAGCCCAGGAGTTCGAGACTAGCCTAGACAACATAGTTAGATCTTGTCTCTACCGTAATAATAATAATAATAATAATAATAATAATAATTAGCCAAGCATAGTGGCGTGTGCCTGTAGTCCCAGCTACTCGGAGGGCTGAAGTGGAAGGATCACATGAGCCTAGGTGGTAGAGGCTGCAGTGAGCTGTAATCATGCCACCACACTCCAGCCTGGGAGACAGAGTGAAACCTTGACTCAAAATAAGTGAATGAATGGATGAATGGTTGTAGTTTTCTTTAAGGTAGTAAATCACTGTTCACAATGTAGCCTCAAAAAAAAAACAAAATCCCCATTCTCACTGAAATTATAATTCAAATGCAATCAGGACCTAACTAAAAGCAGTAATGTATACTTTGGACAGTCTGTCAGTGGGAAATCATAAGTAAATAAGATTCCAAAACTTGGGGGCTGACCCATTAGATTCTCAGCTTTTCCATGATACAGATCATTCTACTGCACTCCAGCCTGGGCAACAGAGTGAGACTCCAACTCAAAAAAAAAAAAAATGTGTTCTAAAGTTTTGCATATCCTTTTCCCTTGAAAGGCTGTATTTTGCCTTTGTTGTATCTTCTTTAAGGTAAAAGAAAATCGCTTAAGGCGTGAAAAAGAACTGGAGCACCAGAGAATTGAAAAGGCCCTGAAAAAATCTGCCTTCTTGGAGGCTCAATGTCTGGTACAAGAAGAGAAGAAAAGGAAGGCTCTAGAGGCCAAGAAAGAGGAAGAGGAGATTCAACGGGAGATGGTAAAGCTGCGGAGGGAGATAATTGAGAGGAGGCGCACTGTGGCCGAAGCATGGAAAATGTAAGCCAGCATGATAAGCAGTGTGGAATTTCTCTGCTCAAGCAGTCATTTTGGGAGTGCTCTCAAGTTCCTAAAATGACAAACATAGCAATAACAAAACACAAAAGAGAAATCACCCACTATCCACCATCTTAACAAATTCACTAATTTCATTTGTTCATGTTTCCTCCTGATCTTGGTCCCTTTACATATTTAATTACAACCATAATGTACATTTAATTTGTCATTCTACTTCTTATAATTAACACATTGCCTGGAGTCCTGAGGTGTTTATGATACATTGAGTTCCTACACCATGGTTTATGGAATGACTTCCTCCCCATACTGGTAAACATTTCTGCTATTTCACATTTTTCACCATTATAATATTACATTGAGCATCTTTAAGCATGGAACATTTTCATTCTTTTGAATTATATTCTTAGGATAAATTCTTAAGAGTGTAATACTGAGTTAAACGGTCTAGGTCTTTTTATGACTCTTGAAACTTTGCCAAATTGCTTTCAAAATGGATTGTACTTATTCCTCTATCACCAGCAGCGAGCCAGTTTACCACACTCTTCTCAGCATTAGAGAGTATCAGTATTTTCATTATTTTTACACTTTTAATGGGCATTGTGTTGATTAGCTTGCGTTTCTTTGGTTACCTAATATTTTTAAGGTTGAACATGTTTCCTCATGTGTATTTGGTAATTGTGCCTTGTGCTGTTGTAAATTGTGTGTCTTATTTTCTGATCATCATGTGGAATGTCGCCATTGCCTTACTGCCACAGATAAGAAAAAGAATATCTGACATAAGAGAAAAATGATAGTAGTCCTCACAGGATGTAGTACCGTTTTCCATCCTCATGTAGCAAATGAACTTCATAAGTGAAATAACTAATGTGTTTATTCTGAGAAACAGCACTGATGCATGAATAGCAAAAGTCTTGGAACAACATGAGTGAAATGTCTGAATACTCTAGCCGAGAGGCCAGAAAGACCTATTAGATAATCCCTTCCTCCTCCATAGCCTACGCCGCTTTCCCCCCTGTGTTCTTGATTGCTCTTATTCTACCCAGTTTAAAACAGCTCGGCAGTGGACATGTGCTTCACTCCTTCAAGTGCCAGGCTCAGGCCTCCTCCAGATGCCATTCCTTTCAGAAAGCAATCACCAATGTTTTAGTGATTTCTTTCTAAGGTCAGGTCTGCTTTTCAGATTGCTCACAAGCCCTGGAAAAACTAGGCTGACCTAAAATAAATTGTGAAAGTAAGTAACATTTGACAGTAGCAGGATGCTCTGCTCACAGTGGGCACTCAACAGATGTTCACTGATCAGTCATTTCTTTTAAAAGTTAAAATCTTATCCATGCTTACAGTAAGACAGATAATATGTTCTACTTCTAGATGGATAAACCAATTTAAACTTTCCAGAAAGCAATTTGGCAATAAACAGCAAGAGGCATAAAATGGTATTATCTCTTGACCTACGAATTCCAGTCCTGGGAAAACTACCCTAAAAATATTATCAGAAATCCAGACAAAGTTTTGTGCACAAATATAATTAAAAGAACATTATTTATAATAACAGATATTCATAAGTATTAGAGACATTATTGCATAATGGATGTACAATGAAACAGGACTGACTTGAAATATGGATGACTTTTATACCTCTCCAGTTTTTCACAATCAGCAGCTGTTACTTTCCTAACAGATATATATTCTAATGTTATTTTTTAAAAGTCAGATTCTCGGTATTGGAATTGTATTTCTTTAATATATTAGATTTGTACATTGTGTTTATAAATATACATAATTATATTTATTTAATGTATTAGATAAATGCCTAGAACCATTTAATATAACATTGTTGTGCCATTAGTAGTTTGGAAAGAGTCAGTAAAATTTTATTGTTGGTAGGGCTTTTTAACTTGTTTGTAAGTGACCTAGTCTTCCTTATTGCATAGTTTTAAAATATCTCTTTCAAGATATTTATTAATCACACAGGAAAAAATAGTAACTTTATACTGGAGAAGCCACCTTAAACAAGTGATATAGGTTAACATCATCAGTAATAAAACATAACATTGTGTGCCCTCTGTATGATACATGAGAATGAATGAGAGAATATCTATAGAGTATTCTGGCATCACTCTTAATCTGGGTTTCTACAACTGTAAAATGAAGTTCTAGGAAGACCAGATAACTTATTTGACTTTTCACAGCTTGTTTGTGGCCAGAGCTTATTAATTCCAATTCCTGATTAGGTGCTATGTTTATTAATAGTATATATTTTATACACATACACTCCAGTAAGAAGGCCATAGCTATGAGCTTGCTTGAGTTGGTGAGCGAAAGAAGGATGACCTGGATAAGGAAGAATAGACAGGAGAGCGAGAAAAAGGATGACCAGAAAGAAGAGCAACAAGGCTACTAAGAGATTCTGGTTACCTATCTGAGGGCCTTTTACAATTTTTTCATTAAGTTCTACTTTTTTCTCTTTTTAGCTATTTTAGGATTATTCTAGACTCCAGTCTCTCCTTACTCAACAGCACCAGATTCTTTTATTATTCTTCTTGTTAGAGACCTTGTAAAAAGCCTTGTAGTAAGAACCTCATTCTTTCTTTACTTGAAGATACCCTTTCCCCATTTTAAGAAGAGAGAGAACTTATGCTTATCTTAGAGAATACCCAGGCGTTATTAACGCTCAAATTCCAATTGGAGTATGGCTCAATGCTAGACTAAATAAAAATACTAAAGTATCTATAGGACTGTCTACTTCTCAAGGTACTTTATAAATCTTATATTATTTAATCTGTATTTTATAATGGAATTAACTAAGGTTCCAAATAAAAATCACCCTAATATGTAGCTTTAGAGCCAGATCTAAAAATCTCTATCTTCTGATGGAAAATTCAGTGTTCATTCCACTATTGTAGGTTGTAATTTCTCATTGTTAAATCTGTTGTACATATGTGTATTTTGAAATTGTCATTAATAGAGAGAAGAAAAGGCAAGAAGAAAATTCTCAAAGAAATTCAGAAAAGGACATGTTTCAAAGTGCTCGTGTTCTTCTGGATGAGAAGAAAATGGCAGAAGAAAGAAAAAAGAAACTGAAAGAGTTATTAATCCAAACTTTCAAGGAAAATCAACAGGTGAGAATTGTAATGTCTTTTAATTCAGCATTCTGTAGTGTGACAAGAAGCTCCTTCAGAGATAGGATAAAGTAAACACTAAGACCAGCTTAACCTCATCACAAATACCAAAACTGCCCACACCGTTTTTTCTCAGCTGACCTGGTGTGCAGAGCAGTGTACCAATTCCCTGTACTGAGACTATTCTTGATATACTCTGGTAGGATCCTGGGAAATTAGAAGGTGTGGGAGTAAATTTAGAATATCTTCCTAAATTACCCTTTTCAAAACAGCATTTAGCTACGAAAGTAACTGCAATTTTTGAAAGCTTGACTTCCATTTTGACAGTCTTCAGAACCATTGTGTTCTGGAGTATTCAGAAGATACAAGAACCAGTTACTTGCCTTTTGATAGCTCAGATCTTAAAGTAATTATACACTTATGTCTGTGCCCTTTTTAACGGTCTACATTTTACTTCACCCTTTCTTTATGACCAGTTTCTTATAGACAAATGATATCCTTATCAGGCTACTTAAGCAATTTTTTTCAATGAAGTGGGATCGATAAAATTATGAATTTGGGGCTTATAACATTTCAGGTAAAAAGAATTACTTGGCAAATTTGTAAATGGGAAGGTTGGACAAGAAAAGATAAAGATATACATTTTATGTATCCTACAACATCCACTCCAGGACATTGCTGAAATTTAGTGAAAACTAATGGAATAAACACATGAATTAATGGCTATCGTAAGAGAAAAGAGAATGTTAGGAAGATGAGAAGGGAGCTTGATAATTGTAGGGATAGACATATAACGTTCCTGGAAATCAGTTATAGGAATTTGAATATGATATAGATAACTCAGATACAAGGAAAAAAGTCAAGTAGTCAAAGCAATTAAAATAAAAAAAGATAAGCAGGGCGTGATGGCACACACCTGTAGTCCCAGCTACTTGGGAAACTAAGGCAGGAGGATCGCTTGAACCCAGGAGTTCTAGTCAAGCCTGAACAACATGGCAAAACCCTGTCTCAATTTGAATAAAAATAAAAATTTTTTAATTTAAATACAATTTAAAAAATTTTAAAGATAGACACATCTGATGGTGGCATTTGGGCTGATATGCAGGAAGTTGTCATTATTCAAATATTAACAAAAACTTGGTCAGACTTTTGGCTTCGTAAAACAGAGGGAAACATGGTAGGAAGGAATGTTAAGTCTTGGAATTAACATTTTGAGAAAGTCTAACAAAGACTCTTAGACTCTGCATCCTTCATGAGACAGATGGAGTTGGTCCATAACAGCAGTTCAGAGAAAATAGGAAGAGAAACGAGTATTCAGTAGGTCATTTTGAGAAGGCGTAAGGAAAAATTACCATGATACATTACTCAACAAGTGAGAGATAAATAAGTCATGTATTCTTTAAAAATTTTTAAATTGTATTGAAGCCTACAGTACAATCATATACGTTTTAGTAAAGACTGCTAGATACAAATGATAGACATATGTGCAAAGTTTTACAAATTTAGTGACCCATCTAAAACAGATTACTTAGTTTTAAAAGTAACAATATTTGACAAACAGAAAACTTTTGACACACAGAAAAATTGCAAAAATAGTGGAGAGTTCCTGAATATCCTTCACCCAATTTTTCCCAGTGTTAATGTTTCACATCAGCATAGTATAATGATCAAAACTAGGAAATTAACATTGGTACAATATCATTAACTAAACCATAGATCCTATTAGAATATCATCAGTTTTTCTACAGATGTCATTGTTCCAAGATTCAATCCATAATTTCACATTGCATTTAGTTATGTCTTCTTAGTGTCCTCCAGTCTGTGACATTTCTTCAGTCTTTCCTCATCTTGTGTGATCTTGATGTTTTTGAAGAAAACTGGTTAAATTTGTAGAACATCTCTCAATTTGAGTTTTCTGATGTTTTCTCCTGCCTGTATTGAGATTATATTTTTGGGAAGAATGCTATAAGAAGTGATTCTGTGTCCTTCTTAATATATCCTATTAAGGAGTACATAATTATTGATGTTAACCTTGATCACTTGGTTAAGTTTGTGTCTGCTGGGTTTCTCCATTTTATTTTATTTTTTTATTTTTTTTTGAGTTGGAGTCTCACTCTGTCGCCCAGACTGGAGTGCAGTGGCCGCTCCCGGCCACCGCAACCTCGACCTGCTGGGCTCCAGCGATCCTTCCCCCTCAGCCTTCCGAGTAGCTGGAATTACAGACGCGCGCTACCACACCCAGCTGATTTTTTTTGATTTATTGTAGAGATGAGGTCTCGCTGCCCAGGCGGGTCTCGAACCCGCAGGCTCAGGCAATCCACTCACCTCAGCCTCCCAAAGGCGCGGGATTACAGGCTGAGACACCAAGCCCGGCTCTCCATTTTAAAGTTGCTATTTTTCTGTATTCATATCTTGCAGAAGATTTTTTGAAACTATGAAAATGTTTTCCTTCTCTTTAAACTATCACCCACTAATTTTAGCATCCACTGGTGGATCTTGCCTATAACAGTTATTGATGTATATTTGGCTAATGATGATTTTGTGCTTCCCTCATTTCTTCTATATTTGTTATTTGAAATTCCTCTGGCAAAAAGAACTGTCCTTTTTCTCTATTTATATATGAATTTATTTATATAGTTATTTATTTTATTCAGTATGTGCTCATTGATATTTATTTTAATCTATGGATCATACTCTAATATTGTTGTTTACTTGGTTATTAAAGTTATTGCAACTTTGGCCATTGGGAAATCTTTCAGTTTAGCACCTTTGCCCTATCAACATGAGGCATGTCCTCTTTTTCTGGCACATCTTGTGTTTCCCTGGCCTAGCCCTGAAATCAACCACTTCTACATGGAACTTTGTTTCCTTTTATTGGAGAATAGTCTTTAGAAACCAAGATCTAGGTACTAAGTGTGCTCACTGCTACTGGGATGTCATTGTATCTGGGCCCTCTCTGCAGACAGAGCTAGGAAATATATGTAAGTATATTAACCCACGCATATACACACATTATATTTGCTTCTATGTCTGTTTACATATTAAAATTCATGAGTTTATAACCTCAATTCCAGTACAGCAAAACAAAGTTCATGTTATTTTCCCCCTTTCCTTATTTGTACCTTCTGTATCTATAGAATAAACAATTATGAATTCATAATGATATTTTCAATCATAATCCAGCATCACAGGTTTCAGTGTGGCCTTTCCCTCTTGCTTATTTGTAACTTCTTTCTCTGACAGTGAGAAACCTGGCTGATTATCTACATTATATTTATTTATTAGTTCAATCCTAGTACTATAAAAGTAGTTTCAGAATTGCTAACCCATTATTCCATGGAAATAAATTTACTAAACCACAGTATTTGCATAGTTATTTTTGATTTTAGCTTTATAGTATTCAGTCAAAATGCTATTTTCCAAAGTTATTTAAGTTAGCTCTTTTTTTCCCCTTCCACTTCAGTGTGATTGGTTTTCATGTATAATATGGTTAGTGAACCTCTAGCTTCCCCAGTGTATAGGGGTATAACTGAGACATGGTAAAAATCCATACTCCTCAGGCTTTTACATAGATTTGGCTGGAGACAGGACAATCCTCTGGTAAAGGCCACAGGAGGAGGCTAGCCTTCTGGGCCCATGATCTTGGTCCAGTCAATATCCTAGCCTGGTTCTAAAGAGGCCTGAAGCTGCCCCTGGGTAATGAAACTTGGATACTAAACAGGCTAGATATGACCACAGGAAGAAAAGGAGGAAAATGCCTGGCTGACTTGTAGAGAGTGGCTAGATAACTGGAAGCTCTTGTCAGCACCCTCAAGATGTTTCCCTGGCACAACTGCTACAGAAATAGCTATATAGAATATCTGCAGGAAGACTTTAAAGAATCTGTGTTGAGGAGTTGTAGATTTCTTTAATTCCTGTAATTCTTTATGGTTTAATTCTGGGTTTTATTTTTCCCTCCAAACAATATCTTAACATCTTATTTGGGCCACATTATTTAATAGGAAACTTTCTGAGAGAGGGAGAAACACGATTCAAAAAACAATTTCAGGTATAGCACTATTCATACATCTTTTCTACACATTTCATTGCCAGGTCTCTTTGTTTTACCAAAAACATCTTTTTTTTTTGGTATAGATATTTTCTACTTCCATCCTATCCTATTTTCTCTTTGATCTTGCAGTGAAATCTCTTGGGGATGTACAGCAATCCATGTGTCACTGCTAATTAGCAGAAATAACAAGGGATTAACTATGAAATTCTTATACTATAAGAATTCTCATCTTATTGTGAAACACATTTTTGTTTCTTAAATAAGATGAGAAATTCCAGCTGGGCTCTGTGGCTCAGCCTGTAATCCTAGCCTTTGGGAGGCTGAGGTGAGTGGATTGCCTGAGCCCGTGGGTTCGAGACCCACCTGGGCAGCGAGACCTCATCTCTACAATAAATCAAAAAAATCAGCCGGGAGTGGTAGCGCATGCCTGTAATTCCGGCTACTTGGAAGGCTGAGGCAGAAGGATTGCCGGAGCCCAGCAAGTCGAGGCTGCGGTGGCCAGAAGCGGCCACTGCACTCCAGTCTGGGCAACAGAGTGAGACTCCAACTCAAAAAAAAAAAAAAGAATGAGAAATTCCATGATCTTTCCTGCTTGTGAAAGTTGAAGGGAGAGATGAAAGATGAGTGACACTAACCTACATCTTAATTTTCTGGGAGAAGATTTTGGTTTGCTCATTTTCTGTTAAAGTAAGATAATAATGACCCAAAGGAATCATTGTTAAAATTATGCTTGTGACATAGCACCTTCCAAAATTCACCTCAAACTAAACCAAGGAAATGTGGAGATACTGTATATGGAAAAGAAGCCTGGATTTTTCCGAAAAGATGATGAAAACTGTAGTTAAATATCTCATTTATATACCATGATTCCTTTCCAAAGATCTTAGTTTTATCAGGACTGCCTACACACCACTTAAGCAAAACTGTTTCTGAGCTGACACATAGCAAC